AGTCACGCTTGATAACGCGCGTGTCCATCTGCCTGCGAATTCCGTGCGCTCGAAACGTATGTGTCCGTCGTGAGCCATACGTTTAACTCTGTGCCACGCTCACGTGTGCTTCTAAAAGAAATCTTTTGGTGCAAATAATGGGGAATAGAAACTCGCAACTTTTTTTGTTATATTTCATATCTCGTAAATACAAGTCATTTTATACGTAAAATGTAGCGAATATATAAATATTCATTATTTGATTATGTGGTACTTTTAAAAGCAGGTGCGAAGTCGAAATGGCGTCAGATGTAAGATTAAAAATCTGACAGTACGTGATTTTTTACGTGTTTCATTAGAAAATATGTGTTTTTAAATGTATTTATCCGCAATAAACGTGACTATTAATTCTATAAATGAACAGAATGAATTTAAAATGTTTTAAGTTATTTGCTCTATTTAGAGAAAATTCTGTGCATTTATCATAAATTTTTCTGAAATATTTGTTTTATATATTATCTTATAAAAGCATAATTAAATTTTTATTTATTTATCTTTGGTATTAAATCTTATAAGATAATCTTATAGTGGAGCAATTTAATTGCAATTTGATTAAGTCATGTACGATCGACGCTAATAATTATGATAATAATTATGATAAATGAAAAGGTGTTGCAGAAGTGATTATTAGTGACCACGTGACTTGTGAAAGTGATAAAGATAAGCAAATTGACTGAATGGTTGATTGACTTGATCTAAGCAAATTATTATCAAGATTATTATTATCAAAATTATTATTATCAGAATCTCATAAAATTAGCATTTGAGCACATGTTCACATGTAATGTTTCTATTGACGTATTGTTAATTCGGAAATGAATTTCTATTCTTCTAGTTATTCTAACAAATTTCCATTATTTTTTAGTTATGGAAGAATAATTTGGAATCTATGAAGTAGAGTGAACAGAATGAAAATATGTTTCCATTTGTATCATTTCTTTCTTGTACTTTCATTAGATTCTATTTATAATAAATACGCTAACAATGAAAAATTTAAGCAAAAATTTTAAAGTATAAATAACAAATTTTTAAATGAGACTTTAAATTTATTTTGAAATAAAAATTAGAACGTATTATATAACTTTGTTATATTTTTTAACTATTATATAACTATAAAAAAATAATATGATTAATGTAGGATATGTCTTGATTTATATACAACATTACAATCACATCGTCAAAATGTTTATTGCGAATAACATTAGTTGTATTCAAGCACCCGACAATTCCGTCGGAATTCTCATTTTTCAGACTATCCGCATTTTTATCGACAAAAGAATTCGTGAAGATTTTGCGATGTAGTTTGTATCTCGTGATACCGTTTCACGATAAACCCTAAGAAAATCCGACACGCATTACCGAATGATCGGCGCACCCCTCGGCACTTGAGAAACGTGAAATCCGAGGCTCCATTAATGGACTCCGGGGTCTCCAGATCAAATGAAGGGGGCAGTAAAGACGAAAGATCGTGCCGTGGTGAGCGCGCGCGTAGGTCCTGTTGTTTGCCCGGAAAGTCGAAGTTTCTGCCGCGAAGCGTGACGTACCTACGTATGTACACACAAGGGCCGACCCTTTGTGCCAATAACTGCGAAATGAAAATATATCTGTTCGCAAACATGCCACCGACGGCGGCGCGTACGCTCGCTCGGCGCCGGGAGCTCTCGAGAGAAAAAACTCTCGCGTGGCCGACGGCGAATATAACACCGCCGCTCGCTACCGCGAGCACGTGTTACAAATAATTCCATGTTTGTTTAATCCGTCTTGCGCGAATATATTGTTCGACTCCGACGATTGTCGAAAAAGTAGATCCAGAAAGGAGAAAATATAGACAAAGATATTTTTCAGAATAAAAGAAATAAGTTGCTATAATTGTAAAATTGAATATGAGACAGATAGAAAAATGTGTGACACAAAGAAATATCGAGAATACTAATTCGAAAATATTGATTTAATTTCATCATAATATGATGATTTGATTGTTTAATCATTTTAGTCGATGTAAATTGCCTTTAATTCCGATTTAATTTCTTTTTATCTTTTTTTCAATTCTTAGATTTAAGAAAGTAAATTAAAAAGAGATTAAGATTAATCTACATTAGCAAAAATGGGCATAAGACGTACGCGTTATATTCTTAATCATTAAAAGTCATATTATATTCTTTCAATCTTATAAAAAATTATATTATAATTTTAATCGTACCAAAAGTGAGTTTTCATCTATTTTACGTTTTTTTTTTCAGACTTTATTTTACGTCACATGTTTTAAATCATATACACGATATATAAACATTATTCTACGTTTTCTGGAAAATCTGGTTTTTTAATATTTTTTCCGTAAATTTTATCGTAGATCATAATTTTAAAAAAATGTTTCATCTTCTACTTGCAATTGAAAAATTATAGCAAGTTATTTTATAAAGAATTTAAATGATTTCTAGCGAGCGAAAACTTTTCAAATGCAACTTTGAATGCAAATAGCTCCAGCTGTATTTATCGCCATCATATCCATCCGTATCGAGAAACGATTTCGAAGATGATATACGCATCCACAACGCGTATACGTGGATTTTCTCGTATGCGTTTTACATCGTGCTCATGCAGGAACGGCCGGAGCCGTTAAACAGTCGTAAAGATTTTGCGAAGCAGAAGAACCGCGGTTTTTTTCTCCTCCAACCGAGGCTGCTGCCACGATAGCACTTTCAATCAGATACTTTATGGTTTCTCGCGATTCCTCGAACCGATTAACCGGTAATTGCGGACGATATTCGACCGCGCCACTGTGCGACGTGACCTCAAAAAATGTAATCACAATCCGGCCGGATCACGAAATATCTGCCGTTCGTGCGGATCGATAAACCAGTAGATTTCCAACGTTGCGCTGTGGCAAATCGTGAATTTTGCATCACGTTGCGCTGTGGCAAATCGTGAATTTTGCATCACGAGTAAGAAGAAACAATTGAAAAATGATGTCCTCTCTTTTAGATGCTGGCAGCTCTTACAAGGGAGGCTGGAGCCACGCCACGTCGCCGGCACCTGGTCAGGGTGAGTCTCATTTATCTGCATTTGTTTAGGTACCTAATAATATCAAGAGAAGGAAATGTGAGGGCAACTTTATTTGATTACACGAGAATTTTGATATCATCTTGAGCCCAGAGTAAAAATATAAAATCATATTTTATATTTTAAGATAAAATAACAAAGGTGCATTTAGCATGTTGACTCAGATAGTATCTATGTAATAATTTACAAAATGTTAAAAAATGCAATTATATTAATCTTGAAAATATAATATATCGCCTCTTGCTATATATAATTGTAGAAGGCACCTTGATATTATGACATAATGTTAAGTGATAATTATTTTTCGCGTTTTCTGTATCTTTTTTAAATAAATCATAAAAATAAAACTTTTCGAATTATGTAAGCACATCTCAACTATAAAACTATAAAATTTAATAGGAAAATTTAAATATGTATATATGTATAATTTTTCATATTAATATAAAAACAAAGATATTAGCATCACATTAGGCCGCAAGATTCCATTTTTTAGCAAAACAATTTTATACTCTTATTCTAACTTTAATTACTTACTGACAGTTAACAATTGGACATTATTTTTTTATGTCTCTCCGATTAACTTTCCATCGTCGAATCAGTCAAGTACTCCTGGTTTGGAGCTTCTGAACTTTCGCGAGCGTTATGCGTGCCCTCCGTCCCTCCTGGCAGAAGCCACCCTTTAGTTGAAAGGGAGAAGGAAGGGAAGGGGGGGGGGCAAGGTTTCTTTTTCTTCGTTTTCGGTTCGCTAGACGCTACGTATACCTAAAGGGTGAGTTTCGACGCCGCTGGGTGCAAGTTCACGCGTCGCGACGCTTCGGGTGTTCGAGCGAGCTTTGTGCGTGCAGACGCGTAGAGGATGTGGGTGTTGGTGTGGGTGTAGGTGGCGTCCCGGGTGCTTTGTGGCGCGTTGAACCGCGGCCCCTTTGTCGGAGAGCGAGCAAGCGACAGAGAGGAAGAGAGAGGGTGGCAGAGAGCAAGCCCCGGGGGCTATGTAGAGACGCCTGCCCGCACGGTGGTGTAACGCCGAAGAACAGTCCCACCCTGTGTGGACGCCAACACCGATTCTGGCACAATCATCTCGCGGAGATCACAGAGCTCTGCCCGCAGGCATCTTTGTTATAAACGGCTCCTGGCCGCCACCAACCAGGTTACAACGGCGCTACCGCTGCTCGAGATCACCTCCGTGGTGCGGAACGACGTAAAAGTCTTGCCTTTGAACATACGAACCCGTTGGCACCATCAGTATCCATCTTGTCCTTGTCCTGTTCAGAATTGCATTCGCGATTCGTGCAATCTGTCATATCTCACCTCAGCACTGGGACTTACAGCGTAATTTAACGCGACATACACAACAGACCACGTACAGATTAACCAGATAACATTTGCATTTTAATTGCGAGTAAAGAATGTTACGTAAATAACAAAGTCTTGAAATAATCTTGTAAAATTGCCGCGTAAAAATCGATCGCCGTTTCACGCCAGAAAAGAATTTATAACAAAGAACCTGATTTAATATCTATATCTATATCACGTTATATGCCTTAAATTAGATTCAATTTATCTTTTATCAAATCTTTTATAGGAGAATGATGCGAAGGAAAATTTGGCTTCTTTTTGATTTTCATTTTAAGGCACATTTTATCAAAGCTGTATAAATTATTCGAAAAGATGCAGAATTGATAATTAAATTTTGCAAGTTGTGGTAATTAGAAGAATTTTCAGCGGCGAATTAAGTTATTTTTGGAAAAATTCGCCGCTGGGAAGGAACTCTTTGGGCTTTTTCTTCACCTGCTCCGTGTGCTCTGGAAGTTTAATTTTCAGGTATTTCCCGCGACAACGCACACCCAAGTCATTTTAACGCGGTGTGAGCTCGAGGGCATTTTCGAATGGCGTGCACCAGCAGCGTTCTCTGATCTTGACAGGCATAGGGTCGCCTTTGACTCGGTTTGCGCTTTGCACCACGACGCCAAAGGGAACGCGCGACATCGTCGTCATCGCCGAGATTCATGAAATTACGTGACGTGACGCGTGTTGACCTGAGGGCACTTTGTGGTCTTTCGGACCGCGTGAAATTGAAATTACAAGCTTGTTTCCTCGTACAGCGACCTCCGACTGCGGGTTACCGTGTGCAGTTTCAAGAGATTCGTTAAATAATTATTGTGCAAAGGACAATCAAAAGAAGCTTGCGAGATTTTATCGCGCATAAAGTGTATAAATATAAATTTGATTCAAAAGAATTACTATTACTTTAAAGCTAATTAAAATAGCTTTAAACGTTTTAAATTCTGAAATTTATTTGTCACGCAATTTATGCATATCATGTAAATTCTATTTCTATGTATATGTTCGTATTAATAATATCTCGACGAGATTCCTATGATGTTTCGTGCATAATAATTGAACAAGAATTTAAGTTTGGAAATTTAAAATTCAAAAAGATACCTTGCATCTCGTATGCGAGAGAAAATTCAGCGAATTGCTCTCTAAGCGACGCATTCTAATGCAAATTATTTTCCAACTTACTTGCAATATTCCGTAATATCATGCAAGGACAATGATGAACTGACACCCGTGAATTAACACATTAGAGATATATCTGTGAAATGTAATTCGAGTATGCCCATTAATGTTGCTCGCGTGCTTGGTAGCCTAAAGTTGTTCCATGTCCCGAAGCAGGTCATGCTCATGTAACCTTTCCGTACCAAAATGCGCACTGAGCTGCGTTGTACTGTTCCACGCGATCCAATCTAAAATCGAAGTGATCAAAAAAGTATTATCGCGTGAACCGTCCGAAGTTTAATTATCTGTGATGTCATCATGAGCTGTTAACTCATCAGCTGAAAATTTTATATTTTTTTGGATAGATCTCCATTTGGGTTTGTTACTATGGAAAGAATAGCTTAAATGTCATTATATTTGATTTTGATTTTGCTATCTCAGTTAGGAAAGATATTAAGTATAGCATCAATATATATATATATATATCGAATCAATTCTCTCATTCGAGCGATTTTTACCTTTTAATAAAAAAAAAAAAAAAAAAAAGAAAACAAGCACATGGAAAGAATAGTTTTGCTGAAATTTCTGAAAAAGCCAAATGAAAATAATTCTCAGATCTGTATTTAAATTGTTACTTTAACAAAAATTTTTTTGTGCTCATTCTTTTATAATTAAATTTTAGATTTTATATGAATCTAATGTTGCTTCTGTTTGAACAAAATATAATATCATCAACACCTATTCTTTCTCACGAAAAGTGAGAGCTTAAAGTTTAATTTAAGACTGAGGAACTTTGTACGTATCTATTTTCGACTTCTTTATAATAAATGGGAAAAAATTCGGTCTAATTGACTCGATAAAACGAGCATACAACATCCGAACGAGTGCGGCTCCTCCCATTGCGCTGCGGCTTAGATATCCGTGGCGTACATCGCGAAAGTAACATAAACCTCAGCGGGTCGATTGTCGAGAATTGTCGAGACGCGCTCGCGCGTCCGTCGAGAAACGTCACGTCGCGTTATCGACCACCACAACCGGGGATTTCAGCGGGTCTGCCCACTGGCCAGGAAAAGCGACTTTAAGACGACTCGTAGAACAATAAAAGCACTCTCTCTTTCTCCTCCTACCACCGTCGACGCTGCTGCCCTTCCGCTCCCTAGTGCGCCTCGCGTGACTTCCTGACCCGAGTCGACCGACCCCTCGACCCCCTACGTATGTATGTGTATGTGTGTGTGTCTGAGGGCAACCTCCCTATGATAATTACGTACTCCGGAGCGGCGCGTGCCTCGGCAATTCGCTCACGCGCCCGATCGCGTATGGCGTGACTATCCTCGACACCATAGGTAACCATCTCGCCGTTCCCTTCCCCCCTCCCTTCCCCCCATTATCCAATTCTGAGTTTGCTTCCCTTAAAATATGTATGAGGTGATTGACGCTCTAGAAAGTACAATTAGGATATCCCAATAGTGCAAAGTTCAAAATATGTCTAAAGACGATCTAAGACGATCTTTTCAATGCCTTTCAGATATCTAGTTCTTCAGATATCTAATCAAATTTCTGGCGTACGTGGAAACTTTCTTGACAAGTTAGGACGGAACGAATGATCTCGACAGAAATATGTATAATGAAAATTATTGTTATACATTTTTTAAGTGTCCGCATCCAATTAGAATTCATTATACATGATCTCTATTCCAAAGCAGAGATTTGAAGATTTAAATGAATAATTTTTTGCAAAAAAAGCATTAGAAATGAATTCTCAAATTTATTTTTTAATTATATTCTGCTTGTAATTATATTCGATTATAACATGTTTTTTTAAAAGAAAACAGATTATTCGACAATTAGTAATCGCTAGAATAATTAGCAATTTACAACAAATAATTAAATATTTCCGCTCTATAGCGATTATAATTAGTACTACGATGTAGAGAGGGATAGAAAATCGATTGGCTACATGTAGAATCGATCAGTATCGATAAGATCAACATTGAGAATTCGCGCAAGAATGGATTTCGAAATCGTGAGAATTTCGTAAAATTCGTAAAAATTCGGAACGCGGATTCTAACGTATCCAGAGTATGGGACGGCCGGAACCCCAGGCAGGAAGAGCAGGCGACCGGATCTCGCTGGCACGGCTTCCACTGGTCCACGAATCCCGCAGGGTCGCGGGAGCGAAGCTGTCCCTGGGGGATATGGATCGTGGGCAACAAGTCACTGGGAAACGGCGCGTGACCAGCGCATTCGCGCCGTCAGATTTACGACGATAAGAATGAGGAAAAGTAAGCGGGATATCCTCTTGCCTCCTCTCTCTTTTCCTCGGATGAAAGGGAGTGTCGATTCGACGATGATGCGCGATTTATATTTCAGTACTACTTAAAAAAAAAAATTTATTTGGGCACTCGTTTTGGGCGTTTTTTCTAAATGCATTCTGTATAGGAAAATGTCATTGTTCCATGCTGACTTAATTGCCGTAGTCTAAT